GCGGAGGTTGCAGTGAGCCGAGGTGGCACCATTGCACTCCAGCCTGGGCAACAGAGCGAGACTCCATCTCAGAAAAAAAAAAAAAAAGCAAAAATTAAAAAAAAAAAATAGGTCTTTTCCTCTGCTCTGAAACCTTCAATGGTTCCACAGCCCCACTGGAAAATGAGCAGATTCTTCAAATAGTCACCGAAGCTCTGGTCCAACTGGACTTCATCTGTTCTGTCCCCTGCTGCCACCCACCTGTGCCCCTCCTGCCTCTACTGGCCAGGTTTCTCCAGCCCTCCCCTCTACACACGCGCACACACACACACACACACACACACTCTGCACTTTCCAGCCTTCAGGCCTTTGCCTGCACTGCTCCCGGCAGAGAGAAGGCACTCCCACACCCCCGTGTCTGTCTTTCTCTTTCTCTCACCGCCTCATTCTCGCTGTTGCCCCTGCGAGGGCTCACCTGGCTGTCCGGAAGATGAGGCTACTGCCCAGGCCCCTCTCATCCTCATGGAGACATTGGAAGGCCATCAGGAGGCTGTAATCCAGCACGTTGAGCTCCCGGAGGAAAGTGGTGTCCAGTTCCATCTGGCGGAGGAACCAGCTCCGCTGGGGCCCTGCCGGAGCATCAGTGCCCCCACCTGAGCGCACCACCATGGTGCTTCACACACTCTGCCCCGTGACAGGAGGTGGCATGTCTGTCCCCATCTCACAAATAAGGAAACTCATCTGCCTTGGTCACCTAGCTAGGAAGTTGTGGAGCCTGAATTTGAACTCTGCTCTGCCTGATTCCAGAATCTGGTCTCAATGACTCAGGCAGAGGGCAGCAGGGACACCCTTCTAAATTTCACCCTGAATGAAGGAGGAGCAGGCAGTGGCCACCCCCTTGGCTCACCCAGGTTGATGGTCTTGCCCTGAAAGTTGAGGTCCTTCAGCACCAGGACAAGGGGGCTGCCCTCAGGGGCAGGTTCCACCCAGCGGCTCACCTCGCAGCCTTTGATGTCATACCTGAGTGGGGGGACAGAATTCAGCTTTACATAGATTTGAGACACACAGAGACTCTCACAAGAGCTTCCAGTGACTACTCATGTGCACTGAACTCATTACATAAATCATCCCCAAACCTCAGCACAACCCTTCTCTTGTTTCTGTCTTTCTTTTTTTAGACAAGGCCTTGCTCTGTCACCCAGGCTAGAGTACAGTGACACAAACATGGCTCACTGAGGCCTTGACCTCCTGGGCACAATCAATCCTCCCACCTCAGCCTCCCAAGTAGCTGGGACTACGGGCACATGCCACCACACCCAGGGCTATTTTTTTTTTTTTTAGATGGAGTTTCACTCTTGTTGCCCAGGCTGGTGTGCAATGATGTGATCTCGGCTCACTGCAACCTCAGCCTCCCGGGTTCAAGCGATTCTCCTGCCTCAGCCCTCCGAGTAACTGGGATTACAAGCGCCTGCCACCGTGCTCAGCTAATTTTGTATTTTTAGTAGAGACAGGGTTTCTCCACGCTGGTCAGGCTGGTCTTGAACTCAGGACCTCAGGTAATCTGCCTACCTTGGCCTCCCAAAGTGTTGGGATTATAGGCATGAGCTACTGTTCCTGGCCAATTTTTTCATTTTTTATAGAGGCAGGGTCTCACTATATTGCCTAGGGTGGTCTCCAACTCCTGGGCTCACGTAATCCTCCTCCCTTGGCCTCCCAAAGTGCTGTGATTACAAACACAACCTACCATGCCTGGCCCTGTAGCTGAACTTGTCTATTATTGTTTCTGAGTTAAAGATAAGAGCAGAGGCCAGGCGCGGTGGCTCAAGCCTGTAATCCCAGCACTTTGGGAGGCCGAGGCGGGTGGATCACGAGGTCAAGAGATCGAGACCATCCTGGTCAACATGGTGAAACCCCGTCTCTACTAAAAATACAAAACATTAGCTGGGCATGGTGGCGCGTGCCTGTAATCCCAGCTACTCAGGAGGCTGAGGCAGGAGAATTGCCTGAACCCGGGAGGCGGAGGTTGCAGTGAGCCGAGATCGCACCATTGCACTCCAGCCTGGGTAATAAGAGCGAAACTCTGTCTCAAAAAAAAAAAAAAAAAAAAAAGATAAGAGCAGAGCAGGTATTCACACTCAGGCTGCTGGAGGCCCAGCCTAGGCTTAAGCCCTGCCTGTGCCTGCTTCTGGACACCTTGTCACCCCTCAGGATGTCCCAAACACAGGGATCCAACCCTAGGCGGCCTACCAGGAAGGCCTGGGGGTAGCCAATGGCAAGGGGTGGAGTGGCAGGGGAGCGCTCACAGGGAACCAGTGGGCAAAGTGAGTGCTGGAGGGCACAGGGGGCCACGTGCATGTGGCCAGAGGCTGGATCTGAGTCCCTGCTCCCCACATGTTAGTTGTGTGGCCTTCTCCTTCCTCGGCTTCTCATCTAGGAAGGAGGATAAGAGCTGCCCCTCAGCGTCCTCCTGGGAATTAAAAAGGTGCGAAGGGTCCAACACGGCGCCTAACACATGCTGAGTGCTCCAGAGACGCTGGGCATCGACTTCATTGTCTCCCACCCCCCAGATCTTGGGAATGCCCTTCTCCTTCCTGGGCCTCAGTTTTGCTGTCTGGCTAGGGAGTGTGGGTGCTTCAGGCGGTGAGTTCTGGCTGGGGTGGGGCTCCCAAGCCTGCTCCAGGCCACTCACCTCTCAGAGATGCGGCCGGGGGGGTAGAAGACGCTCTGCATGATGATGAAGTATGTCTGGGGGCCGGGACAGGGAGTGAGGGAGGCCAGCTGTCGCCCTCCAGCCGCCCGCTCTGCCCAGCCACCTCACCTCAGCCTCACCCACCTTCTTTCCCCGGTCCACCCGCAGACTGTGCACTCCTGGAAGGTGAGAGGACGCCGGGTGAGGGTCTCCAAACTCCACCACCGGGGTTCTTCCGGCGCCAGTCCCAGCGCCAGGCCACACCTCCTTCTCAAGATCCGCAGCACCCGGACCCTTCCACGGCTGGGGTTCGGATCCCGACCCGACCCCACCTCTAAACACAGCCTCAGTGGTGCCCCGCCCCCACGCATGACCCCGCCCCCACGTTGTCCAATCTCAAATTCACCCACTTGGGCCTCCCCCACGTACCTCGGCCTCCCCAGGTACATTACCACCTGGGACCCGCCCCCACCGAGCCCCGCCCGCAGCTGCGTACCCAGCAACCGCGCCAGCAGCGAGTGCGGGTGTCGCTGCAGGTGCTGCACGTAGCGGGGCAGGTGGGCGAGCAGCACCTGCACCTCCCGGCGCCCCTGGGTCTTCAGGAAGAAGCGCTGGTCGTGGCTGGGGGGCAGGAGAAAGAGGTCACTGCCCAGACCTGGCTGGAGCGGCTCCCACCCGGCCCCCTTCCCCGACCTGGGCCGCGGATCTCGCTCCCGGGTCTCTGTACAGCCCCTCTCCTCCGGCCCCCGTTCTCCTTTTCTCCCCGGTCATTTGTCCTCCATCCGGCCCTGACCCTCCCTGATTAAGGCCGCTCTGTTTCTCTCTTCACGGGGCCCTCGCTGCCACTGGGAATTCTGCCCTCCCAGCCAGGGGCACCACTCCCACCCCTACCCCACCCCTGCTGCAAGCTCACGACAGGAAGAAGCTGGCCTTGCTCTTGGATGTGCTGAGAAACTGCAGGTAGGGGCCGCCGGGGCCCAGCGCAGCCTGATAGTCCTCCTCCGCCAGGCCCAGAGAGCGGCGCAGCCAGGCAAAGGCGGGGCCGGCCAGCGTGCCTAGCTCGAAGCCCTGCAGGGGAGGAAGAGCTGCCTCTGGAGTGTCTGCGTGGGCCCAGGTGTGTGAGGTGGTCCTGGGTCAGGAGGGGCAGGGTGGCCACACCCTTCCTGCAAGGCTCAAGGCTCAAGGCTCAGGGACAAGCCTTCACTCCCACTGCACAGATGAGAAAACTGCAGAGGAGAGAGCAAGATCATCACACGCCCCTCCCACACAGGACTAGGGCTTCCTACCTCATGAACCTGGGTTAGGACCTCGGAGAAATCGTCCTGGGAGGGCGGCCCCTGCAGGGAGAGGTAGAGGAGCTCAGAGCAAGCCTCAGTCTCCTGCTGCCTGCCCCAGGATCTCCAGATGTCCTGCACCTGGCCTGTCCCACTCCTTCAGTTTGATTCCTTCAGCAAACTGGGACTGGAGTTGTCTCTGGGTGTGCCTGAGTAGGGCAAACGCGTTGCTTGCCCTCCCAGGGCTGCCAGGGTGCAAGAATGATCCATGCAAGGCCTGAGTGTATCTCATCCACCGCTGGGTCCCCAGCACCAGGCCATGAGTTCAAGCTAGGCATGTTCCCAGACTCAGGCCAGATTCCATTCAGTACAAGGGGATGGCCCTGAAGCCAAGGGACCTGCCTGATGCAACCTGGGAGGGGCAAGATCAGAGAAGACTTCCTGGGGGTGGTGACCGCTAAGCTGAAATCTAAAGGGTAGTGGAGATGAAGAGCAGAATGCTTGCGGCAGTAGCAACAGCATTGGTGGCTGCCAGCAAGGGAAGGAGGGCCCCAGTGGGTAAAGCCAGTGAGGGAGTGTGAATGAGACTGAACGCAGCTGGATCTGGAGGTCATGCTGAGTACTGGGGAGCCATGGAAGCTTTTCAGCAGGTGACGAGGTCAGTTTGTAATTTACAGAACTCCTTCGAGTTTCTACACTCTCCCTGGACCTCCAGGTCCCTGTGCCCAGATGTGGCCTGTGGAATGTGGTCCCACTGCACACACATGCACACACACAAACACCACACATGCTCACCCAGGTCCGCCCAGCTGCTGAGCTTGCAGTTGGGCCACGTTTCTGCTGAGCCAGCCCTGCCTCAGCCTGGGCTCCAGAGAGGATGGGCCAGACCAGCAGGGTGGGGGTAGGTCCCTTTCCAACCATATACCCTGGCAGGGCTGGAAAGGCCTCAGAAATCAAGGGGTACAATCTCCCCCCATAATATAAATGGGGACACCGAGGCCCAGAGAGAGGCAGAGACTCACCTTGAGTCACACAGCAACCACCTGAGTCAGGGGGTTCCTCACACCCCAACACACCCTAGACTTTCCAGCTCCCACACGAGCATATTCCTCCCTCTCTGCCTTCCTCCCCTTGATATCCCTCTCTGATCCTCACACCTGCAGTTTTAGTCAGACAGGGCATCAGCCAAGCCTTGCCATTGCTGGTGTGGAGATTCGTGGGACAGATGGGCCACTCACCGTGGGTGGGTGGTCCATGGAGACCTGGGTGGCAGCCCACAGCCCTGCCTGCATCATGCACGTCATCCCATGCAGCTCATGCCCCGGGCTGATCTCAAACAGGCCCAGGCGAGACTGCTTTTCTCGGAGGCGCCAGAGAAGCCCCCGGCGGCTGGAGGTCACTGCTCTGCATCCAGCCTCAGGGGAGGGGGCCAGGACCTGGTGGGAGGAGGCACAGGACACAAACAGCCTGTGGCAGCATCACAGAGGAAAAAGATCAGGGTTCAAGTCCCACTTCCACTTCTTGTGAGACTTCCCCTCATCTCTTTCTGCCTCAGTTTCCTCCGCTGTAAAATAGGGATGATGCTGGCACCCAGAGGGGCCGCATAGTGCCTGGCATGCAGTCAGCACCTGAATAGAGGGATGATTATGATTATCAGTAGGTAGGGTATGCGCTCTGCAGTCAAAGCTGGCCTGAGACTGACATCTCTCACCAGCCCTGTGACCTCAGGTAAGTCGCCTAACCCTTCTGTGGCTTATTTTTTCATCTGCAACGTGAAAACTAGAACAGCTCCTTCGTGGCAGGTATGAACTCTTGTTACTGTTGAGTTTGAGCTCCTTGCACGAGAACCTTGATAGTAGGAGCTGTGATGCCGGAGATTCAGTCACATCTATTCCATTCGCCTATGCTGAGTGCCTCCAGGCCAGCACGGAGGGCCAGCACTATCCTTGTCATAGCCGCTGACCCACCGGGAGTAGGCATCCACCGTGTGCCCCGCACTGGATGAGAGCTTGACCTCCTAACAGCCCCCTGAAGGAGGAGCTCTGGCATCCTCTCCATTTTCCCGATAAGAAACTGAGGAAGTGCTGAGGGATCCCCGCCAGGCCGCCCTTCTGCATACCTGGCGCCCAACGTGGGGCGTGTCCCCACCAGCTGCAGGGCCCCTCCCTGGCTTGGATGGGGGCGTGTCCGCGCCTCTCGCCAAGGAGAGGCCCGGCCCCTACCCACCAACCCTTCCCTCTCCTGTTCTCTCTGGGGTCCGCACCTACCTCAAGGGGCCCCGGGCTCGGCGCGGCCATCGCCCCCGCAGCAGCTTCCCGGGCTGGCCACGTTCCCCGCTGCCCCGCAGCAGGAGTCAGGCCCCGCCCCTGCCTCGCGGCCGACCAATCACGTGGCGCCGACCGTAGCTGCACCCAATCCGCGCAGGGGGCGCTGGCGATCGCCTGCGGGTCCCGCCCCCGCGGCTGCAGCATCCTTGAGACCTCGGCCCGGCTGGGGCGGGGCCGCCAGACGTTGGCTGGGGTGCCGCGGACGGAGCACCCCCATTTTCCGCCCAGGGCGGGGGGACTCTGGTCGCCAGGGCCGCCTGGGGAGGCCAGTAACCTAAATTCTGTGCCGCCCACCCACTCTGGCGTGAAATTCCCATTGACGGTCTTTTGGGTGAAAAAACAGAGATCTAGAGAAAGAAGTCACTACCTCTAGATCACACAGGAAAGTCGGGGACATCCATTCATTGAACACATAGATACTGAACACTCACTGTGGGCCAGCAGTGCTAGGCCCTGGGGATTTAGTGGTGATTGAGAGGGAGGGGCTCAGCTGCCTGCGTGATCTTTAAAAGCATCATTCCGATGACGTCACTCTCGTGCTTAAAGCCTACAGAGGCTCCCATGGCAGTGGAATAAAATCCAAACGCCTCACTCTGGCCCCAGGCCATCTCAAACCACTCTCCCTACACTCACCACTGAGCGGCACGAGCGGCAGGGGCCCCTCCTGTTCCTTAACTGCCAAACTCTCCGTTTGCATTTTCTATTCCCTCTGCTTGAAATTCTTGACCCCAGACTGCCACTCGCCTTGTTCCTTCATCACCTTGCTAGACTCCAACAGAGCGCTCTCCTCCCTGACTCCTGACCACATCACCTTTATTTTCTTCACCATCCTAACACTGTCAGAGACTGTCTTGTTCATTATTTATTACATCTCCTCCTGGGGTGGGGATGCCATGAATGCAGGGGCCATGTCACCCCTGCTTCCTGGCTCAGTGCCTGGTGCAAGCCGGTGCTTGATGAGCATCTATGGGACAAGGTGAGTAAGGCATGCAAAAGGCCTTGGCGAGTTCAGAAAGTGAAAGTCCAGAGAGGCTGAAGAGGAGAAAGCAGGCTGGCAGGCAGGGCCTCATGTGGACCCAGAGAGGGATTGTGGGTCTGGGTGTGAGTGTGAGACGCCAAGGTGTGAGAGTTTTTTGTTTGTTTTGAGATGGAATCTCACTCTGTTGCCCAGGCTAGAGTGCAATGGCACAATCTCCGCTCACTGCAACCTCCGCCTCCGGGTTCAAGCGACTCTCATGCCTTAGCCTCCTGAGTAGCTGGGATTACACGTACACGTCACCACATCCGGCAATTTTTTTTTCTTTTTTTTTTTTTTTGCGTTGGAGTCTTGCTCTGTCACCGACGGCTTCCTGACCGTCGTGCAGTGGTGCAATCTTGGCTTACTGCAACCTCTGCCTCCTGGATTCAGGCGATTCTTCCGCCTCAGCCTCCCGAGTAGCTGGAACCAGAGGCTCTTTCCACCACGCCCGGCTAATTTTTGTATTTTTAGTACAGATGGGATTTCACCATGTTAGCCAGGATGGTCTCGATCTTTTGACCTCGTGATCTGCCCAACTCGGCCTCACAAAGTGCTCGGATTACAGGCGTGAACCACCGCAACCGGCCAAGTTTTGTATTTTTAGTAGAGACAGGGTTTCGCCATGTTGGCCAGGCTGGTCTTGAATTGCTGACCTCAAGTGATCCACCCACCTTGGCCTCCCAAAGTGCTGGGGTAGGGCCACAGCCCCACAGGGTCGTGGGGTGTCCCCTATTGCTGTGTTGAGTCACAGGATCCAAGAAATAAAGAGACAGGACACAGAAGAAATGGAAAAGAGCAGCTGGGCTCCAGGGGCCGCACCACCTATGAGCGGAGACAGGCGAGGCCCTGAACGTCCAGAAGCATCTGTATTTATTAGGTACAAGGCAGGGGGAAGGGTCATGAGTAAGCTCATCTATAGACTTAATGATAGGGCATACATAATCACATGAGTAGCAAGCGAGGGGGCCACCCCTTTAGGTCACCTAGTTAGAGAGGTGGGCTGTGCGCAGTAGGGGGCTGTGCCATGTGCAGTACTACAGGGTCGTGTACAAAAGGGGGGTCCACCCCCATTAGGTCACCGAGGCAAGGGGGTGAGCTGTGTGCAACAAGTGCCATGTGCAACACTTCTTATCTGGGGGCCCGAGACTTCCCTATAGAAGGATGCTGTAAACCAATGCAGTGGAAGCTGACAGAGTGTGCTCTTCTCTAAGATAATTTATAGGAGGATGATTTGAGCCAGCCCAGTGGCAAGACAGGGTGTACAGCCGCTGTGGCACAATTACACCAGAGGGGTTCTTCTCCCTCGGTTGTTCAGGGGTCTCAGGCCTGAGGCCTACCTTCCACAAGAACTGGGTGCAAGGTACAGCCACTCCTTTTCAGGAGGAATAACTCTTGCTCCAAGCTGGCCACGCAGTGGGTACTGAGTGCTGCTGTCTAGGCCCTGACCTGCCATATATGTATGTCCTTTCAGGCAGTGGCGCTACCGCCTGGGTCATTGGTTCTTGTCCTGGCCTGGCTGTTTTCCCATATACTTGCTTCTGTTCTGTGACTGCTCGAGGCATTCCTCCTACTACAAACTACTGTGTGATTATATAGAAAGATTAAATAAATCAGCACTAAATGTGTTGGTACAGCTCCGACTACAATCCATTATATGATTATATAGAAAGATTATATATAACATATATATGTAACCTACGTATGTATACATATATATATATATATACACACACACACATATAAGCTAGATATAAGATTATATGGGACTAAGTATGATTATATATATAAGGTAGATATAAGTAAACAGTAAGTTATACTTCAAGCACTAATTGTGCCTGGGGTCTGCATAGCCCTCCTTCCTCGGTGCCCATGTTGGGGGTTACCCACATGCTGGGATTACAGGCATGAGCCATCATGCCTGGTCAAGGTGTGTGTTTTTGAAGGGCACTGGTTGTCATGCATAGTTGGACTGGTGGGGCCAGAGCAGGCAGGAGAAGTGGTGAGGAAGCCGTCGGTGACTTAGGCCAGATGGTAGCTTTGCATCAGGAAGGTGACTGGAGGCCGGGAGAAAAGTGGAGGGAGAATTGATAAAGTTTGGGGTCCCGTTGGTGGAGGGATAGGGAAGAAAGCCAGGTAAGGGACACAGGACATCAGTCACTAGAGGGGGCAGGGCATGAGGGGGAGAGCCAGGTTTGGGAGAAGTCTGAGAATTCAGCTCATGAGAGGATGTATTTGAGGTTCTCACGATGGCATCCGATGAGGATGTCGGGCGGGCAGCTGGGCCACGTGCAGCGCATCGGGCCAGAGGTGAGCCTGGTGAGGGTGAGAAGGCCTGCGACACACCCCTGAGGAGCCCAGCGTCACATGGCAGAAGACAGCATGAGTGAGACATCAAGTAGCAGAACTGTCATCACAGCCAGGCGTGGTGGCTCACGCCTGCAATCCCAGCTCTTTGGGAGGCTGAGGCGGGCAGATCACTTGAGGTCAGGAGTTCGAGACCAGCCTGGCCACCACGGCAAAACCCCATCTCTACTAAAAATACAAAAGTTAGCTGGGCATGGTGTTGGGCACCTGTAATCCCAGCTACTCAGTAGACTGAGGCAGGAAGATCACTTAACCTGGGCGACAGATTGAGACTCTGTCACAAACAAACAAAAAGAATGGTCATTACAGATATCAAGAGAGTGGCTGACAGTGGATCAGGAGATGTCAAAGGCCAAATGTGACTGAGAGTCAAGCAAACATCCTTTGGATTTTGAAGCATGGACATCAGCCAGGCGCTGTGGCTCATGCCTGTAATCCTAGCACTTTGGGAGGCTAAGGTGGGCGGATCACCTGAGGTGGGGAGTTCAAGACCAGCCTGACCAACATGGAGAAACCCCATCTCTGCTAAAAATACAAAATTAGCCAGGCATGGTGGCTCATGCCTGTAATCCCAGCTACTCGAGAGGCTGAGGTAGAAGAATTGCTGGAACCCAGGAGGCTGCAGGTTGCAGTGAGCCAAGATTGTGCCATTGCACTCCAGCCTGAGCAACAAGAGCGAAACTCTAAAAAAAAAAAAAATTCAAAATAAAAAAAATAAAGAGCGGGCACCACTGGTGGCCTCAGTGGCTGGACCCTGCCTGGAGTGATGGGGACAGACGCTGAGTGTGGCAGGAGGTAAGGAAATGCAGGCGGCAGGTGTGGACTGCCTTTGGGGAGGCTTCGTGAAATGGACAGAGGGAGCTACCTGGTGGGAACTACCGGGTTGGAGGACCTGTAAGTGGGATCCCAGATCATGCCCAGGAAACAATGGGAGGATCCTGTGGAGATGTAGAGGTTTTTCTCAAGATGGGGGGCCATCCATGACCTCAGGCTCCCACTACAGCAGTTGAGGGATGGAGGGTTAGGATCCAAAGTCCAAGCGGGCAACTCTGCCTGGACTAGAGGACAGAGCGTGGAGCAGGTGGGGACTGGGCAGGTGTCTGCAGTTGGTCTCTTTTTTCTCTGTGATGAGGGAGGGTCCTGGGTTTGAGGGATGGGGGTTTACACTAGATGCCGTGGAGAACCGCGGAGCCAGCTGCCCAGGCGAGGTAGGACTGGTGGAAGGCTGGGGGGTGGGCCAGTCCAGCCAGCCTAACACAGAGCAGCCTCTGCTGCTCAGGGCCATGTTAAGTTGGGCTGTGGGGCTTTTAGGGGAGCGGCCCAAGGGTCCCTAAAGTAATGAATCCATCCTGACCAAGCTGGCACAGGGGAGGCATGGCAGAGGGGTGCCAGGGTCTCCACTGACACCCAGCTGTGATCTCCACTGGGTGGGAAGCATGTCTGTCCCAGTGCCTGCTTTATCCCTAGCGCACAGGTTCAGGGAAGGAGGCCCTGAGGCACCCCCATTGCACAGGATCTCCTGACCCAAGACCGATGGAGGGGCCAGCTCCTAGCCCCCTTCAGCCCCGACACTCGGGAAACAGCACAGAGACAAACACACAATCAGTCAGCATTTATTGGTCAGCTCTCCCAAACAGGCCAGCTCTGGGGTTGGGGGGGCTGGGCCTCCATGAGGAGTGGTCGGTCAGTGGGCCCAGGGTGGCTGCCATAATGTGCCCTGAGCCCTACGTGTGGTCCTGGGGTCTGTCAGTCCTTCACCAGGCTTTCCAGGTCCAGAAGGGCTTGTGGGGTGTGGGGCTGTGTCAGGCTAAGGAAAGTTGCCTTGGTGGAGGAGAGGGCTTGTGGGGAGAGGTCAGAGGTCACACATGCGACCTTAGAAACTGCTAAGTTCAATGTTAGCATGTGACAAGAGGGGAAATGCGGCATGATGGCAGAACCCAGGGGAAAAGGTGGCAGGGAGTCTGAGAGTGAGGTCGGGAGGACTAGCATCTTTCAGGCCCTGGGCAAGAAGGGGGTGACCAGAGTCTTCCAGGTGTCCCTCCCTCCTATTTTCTGGAAGGGAGAGCAGGGGAGGGGGCTCCAGTCAGTCAGGGCTAAGTTCCATGCCATGGGGACTCTGCAGGACAGCCAGGCTTGGGGCGTCACTGTGCCTGGGAAGGTTCTGCAGGCTCCCCTGCTCGGTCCCTGCCCTGGAGGGGAGGCAGAGAAGGGGCTGGCAGCCTCATCCTCGCAGGACCTTCACTGAGTCTTCTTGGTCACCCTCTTACTCTTCAGCATCACGTAGGTGATGAACAGTCCTGGAATACACAGACCAGAAAGGCCATGTAATGTCTGGGCTCAGGCTGCTGGGAGGTCAGGGCATGACACGGCAGAGCCACCCACTTGCAGGGCTGTGCACGTACCCAACCACCCTCCAGGGGACCTGCTCATCTTCACAATCATTCATCAAGCCATACATCCACTCACATTCATTCAGCAAACACCAACCGAGTGCCTGCCTTAGGCAAGATGCTACATTTAATGTTTCAGATTCCAAGGGGAACAAGATCCACCCATCTGTCGATCACCCAATCAACCACCTGTCCACCTACCTACACCTCACCCACCCACCCATCCATTCACCCATCATCCAGGCACCTGGCTGCTGACTGACTCATCCAAATGACTGTGAGCACAACCTCAGTACCACAGCCCATTCTAGATGCACAGTAATGATGGAGACACAGTCCCCATCCCTAGGAAGCCACGAGATAGAGAGGGGCAGGAATTAGAAGTCAGGGTAATGAGAGGGTGACTGAGGTGAGCAGAGTGATAATGGGGTTGGGGGAAGAAAAGAGGGGGATGGGTCACTGGAGTCCAAAAAGCCTGAGGCACCAGGAAGCCCAGAGGCTACTGACTGGCAGCCTCGAAGGATAACCAGAAAACCCCAGGGGTGAGTGCAGGGCAAGGAGCTTCCAGCAGTGCCAAAGTGTGGAAGCACCTTCAGAGGTGGGTCCTCCCGAAACCCTGCCCAGGGTCAAGGGGAGGAGGTGATGACTTACCCACAAACAGGAGTAGCAGGAGGCCTGCGGCCAGCGGGATGGCGACAGCATAGGCGCGGGGCAGGAAATACTTGTGGATGACATGCTGGCTGTCGATGAATGGCTGGCATCGAGGGCAGAGCTCTGGTGAGCCTTGCTCGCCTTGCCCAGGCCCCAAGCCCAAACATCCCACCTCTTCCATCTAAGGGGCTGACCCATTCAGAGCATTGGGACTGGATTTGCTTTTCTTTAAGATTATAGGATTTGGGTGTTATGTTTTTTTCCTTCCTTAATTTTTTTTTCTCTTGAGCAATGTGATGGTTAATACTGATCCTTCCTTAATTTCTGACTGGTATTTACCAGGCACTTGCTTTGGTGCCTGCCACAGGTTGGTGGTGGGGACAAGAGAACAGGGGACAAGAGATGTGCCCCAAGGCACTCACAGCCTAGCAAATGGTACATGAGGAATCCTCGATTGATTCCCAACCTGGGCCTCCAGGATTTTTCACTAGTATTTTTCTTTAAAAGATACCACGTTCTGCACTTCCAAACACACTGCACTTCTTAAGTAATGACCAACAAGTTTTCCCACAATAAAAAAAAATATCCTAAAGGCCTTCACAAATATCACTGGCGCTCGCCATGGCCAAGAGTCAGCAGGATAACCCAGAAGGAATAGAACTCCTCCAGAAGTCAAAGCAAGCTGGAAACAGCTTAAGTGTAGCGGCTAAGGATGCAATCTTGAGCTACATCTTTCTCCCCGAGCCTCAGCTATCTCATCTATAAAATGCGGCACCATTGGCATCTTCCTCATAGAATTGTTCTGGAGATTTCATGAGATGAGGCAGGCAGTGATGCCAGCGCCGTGCCTAGCGCCTGTATTGTAGCTGCTTTGGCGGTGCCAGAGCTCGGGGAAGGTGAGCAGCGGGCGGGGAGAATGACATACCAAGAGAATCACCCAGGCGGTGTAGTAGGTGAAGATGATCAGGCTAACGGCGACGAGGCCGAGTCCCACCACCTGGTCTGTCCCCGTGGCCTGGAGAAAAGGGAGGTCTCAGCTGACAAAGTGACTCTCCATTTCCGCGCACAAATGGAAGCCGGGCGTCGCGGCCGTATCATTGTCTAAGCTTCCCATTCATTCAACAGATGTTAGAGGGCTGACTAGGGATCAGTTTCTAGGCTGAGAGAATGCCAGGCCTCGGTGTTGTCGTCCGTACAATGGGTAGGCGGGAGAGCAATCCCCGTTCCAAGTGCCCAAGTCCCAGCTCCTGAGCAGACCCGGAACCCCACCCCCCAGACCGAGTGCCGTATCTCCGGCACTCGGTCCCAATCTCACCATTTCACCCGGCACTCAGTCACCAGAGCCGCAAGCCACATCCGGTTCCGGGTGACGCTTTCCGGTTTTGGACCGCGGAGCACGCCGGGAGTTGTAGTTCCCAGGCCGGCTCAGGTTTCAGGCCCCACGTGGCCCGAGACTAGCAGGAACCGCCTTCTCCCCTTTGCATTTCGGGAAATGTAGTTCTTAAGGACATTGCCAGGCGGGTTGCTGCCCGAATCTCCCTAGGGAATGGGACCGAGTTGGGAACCCAGACTCCCCGGCCTTCATAGCCATAGTCCTGTAGCCGCCCCACCAAAAGCTAATCTCTAAACATCCCAGAGTCCTGGAGCCAGAGTGGGATGGGAGGGAGGGATCGGAAGTTCCATTTTTCAGATGGGAAAAGCGAGGTTCAGAGGGGTAGATCCTAGTCAGTGGTGAAACCGACACGGGTGGGAGAGGTGCAGACAATGTCGACTTTCCGGCCTGGGATGGGTGGGGGAGGGTCTGTCCGGAGCCCGCATGGATGGGGAGGATCTGGATTGGTGGAGAGGGGGCGCCCCCTCACCATCGCCCGGTTTCCTGGGCCACCCTTCGGACGTCCCCTCCCTCCCTTCACTGGGTGCCTCTCGGAGCAGCCCAAACACGTTTTGGACCGGGACCCGCCCACCGGCCCCTCCCCGGTCTTGGAGGGCCCTTCCTCTGAGAAGAAAGCGATGTTGGGCCAGATCATCTTCCAGGCTTCTCCAGCTACAGAGACAGGAACGCGGTCCCTCGCCACTCATGCGGCGGCTGCTCCTCCGGGTCTCACCGTGACGCCACGTCCCTCAGGGAAGCCAGCCGTGAAGGCTTTTTATTTATTTATTTTTGAAATGAAGTCTTGCTTTTGTCACCCAGGCTGGAGTACAATGGCACAATCTCGGCTCACTGCAACCTCCGCCTCCCCGGTTCAAGTGATTCTCCTGCCTTGGCCTCCCGAGTAGCTGGGATTACAAGAGCCCACCACCACGCCCAGCTAAATTTTGTATTTTTAGTAGAGACGAGGTTTTGCCATGTTGGCCAGGGAGGTCTCGAACTCCTGACCTCGTGATCCGCCCATCTCGGCCTCCCAAAGTGCTGGGATTACAGGCATGAGCCATCGCGCCTGGCTTTTTTTAAATTCCATGTTGCCCAGGCTGGTGTTGAACTCCTGGACTCAAACGATCCTCCCAACTCGGCCCCCCAAAGTGTTAGAATTACAGGCATGAGCCACCGTGCCCAGCGCCCTGTGCCTTTTAATTCACTGATGCATTTTTTAATCTGGCCCTATCAGCTACCTGAGGGTAGGGTCTGTGGTTGCTCCTGTATCCCTGGCAGAAGGCTTGGCACAAAGAGCTTTTTTTTTTTCCTGAGATGGAGTCTCACTCTGTCACCCAAGCTGGAGTGCAGGGGCATGATCTCGTCTCACTGCAACCTCCGTCTCCTGGGTTCAAGTGATTCTCCTGCCTCAGCCTCCTAAGTAGCTGGGACTACAGGGGTGCACCATCACACCCAGCTAATTTTTGTATTTTTAGTAGAGATGGTTTTTCACCATGTTGGCCAGGTTGGTCTCAAACTCCTGACCTCAGGTGATCTGCCCGACTCAGCCTCCCAATGTGCTGGGATTACAGGCGTGAGCCACCGCGCTCAGCCCAAAGTAAGAGCTTTGAACGAATCAGCCAGCTTTAAGATTCAGTGATTGTTTGGATCCTGGAGTGCTACAGAGTACAGCATCTGGGGACTCCAGGCCTCCCTGAGGAGTTATGTGGAGGCCCTTGGCCTGCTGTCCCCACCTGGGGGGTTCGGGGAGAGATGTGCTGTGAGCCTGGCATGGTTTGCTCTCTCTGGCATTTATCTCCTTGGTTTGTTGGAAGCCCATCTCTGACTATGGAGTAAAGCTGACAAGAGCAACTGCTTTTTTCTTTTTTTGAGCTGGGAGTCTTGCTTTGTTGCCCAGGGTGGAGTGCAATGGCGCAGTCTTGGCTCACTGCAACCTCTACCTCCTGGGTTCCAGCGATTCTCCTGCCTTAGCCTCCTGAGTAGCTGGGATTACAGGCACTCACCACCACGCCTAGCTTATTTTTGTATTTTGAGTAGGGAGGGGTTTTCCCCATGTTGGGTTTTCCCTTCTCTCTCAGGAGACTCAGCTCAGCTAGGAGCCCACTTTTACCCACCTCCCTGGTTGTGCACAGAACAGAGGAAGGGTTTAAAGGGGCCAAGAGTGAGGGTCAGCACTGAGGAGTGGTGTGAATGCTATCCTGGTGTAGAGCTGGAGCCCTGGTTGCTTCTGGCCTGGCCAAAACCATTGGCCACCTCCTGGCCAAAACTTCCTGCCACCTCCAAGCTTGTTAAAGACCTAGAGTGACTTGCCTGTCCCAGAGCAACCTGTGACAGACACGGGTGAGGGGCCCAGGGCAAGCCAAGCCCGTAAAGGACAGCAGCCTGGGCTTTTGTTTGGGAACACACTCGTACCTCCTACAGGTCAGGCTGCACACCTGTGTTATATGATAACCCCATTTGCAGGTAAGGAAACTGAGTCACAGTTATTTGTCCTCAGGCATGCTCCTTAGAGGCCACTTGATTGCAGGGAAGGTCCAAAGGGCAGTGGTTAGAACTTGGCCCTGAGGACAGGGCTTTCACATGGTAGGAGCCTGGGAGGTAATGGTCTTCTCAGTTTCCTCCCCAGGAATCTGGAGCGATGAAGGTGGTGACACGATTGTGACCGTAGCCAAGGAGAACCCTGGGCCCCTACAGCTTCCCCACCCTGGAATGTCACTATACATATTTGACTTCCTTCTGATGTTGTCTTTGATCCTAAAGTCAACATGATAAGGTAAAAACAAGGTAAAAACAAAACAGCAAAAGAAACAAAAGCCGAAACATTTAATTTTTTCCCCCAAACCAAGACACTGACACTAGGCCGATTTCCCCTAACAATGTTATTTTCTACAACAGAAGCTGGGACAGAGAAACAAACACAGCCACTGAAGGAGTGGTGGCAACATTCTGTTAGAAAGGAGGGGAATTAAAGAAAAGAAAGACCCCTCCCTCCATCTCCTTGATTACCTCCCTAAAGACAGAGGAAAACATGGACACCTCCATCCTGGCAGACATGCCATGTGGTCAGTTTGTGAGGTAAACAGGAAAAAAAAAAAAAAAAAACCCTAAAGATATTGTAGACCTTTATTTTCTTTAAATCTGCTAATAAAAACGTTAAACTTTGAAGATTCCAAACTGACATTGCATAGACCAATTCCTTTCCAAAAATATCTCTGATATACTCTGCATCTCTCTTAATATATAGAATTTGAAGTCCAGGAGCTGTGGGCACCTGGTGGGTATTCACTGAGCTCAAGGGGACGCGAAGGCTGAAGACAGGGCTCCCACATGGGGGCAACAAGGCCACACCTTCTGGGCTCTGGCTCCAGCCAGCATCAATTTGGTTGTGACTGAATTCTCAGTCCAATCACCCTGGCCCAGGGCCTGGCATGAGAGGATGTGGCAGGCTCTGTCTCCTTCTGGGGTTCCTGGTCTGGAGGAGTTTCCCCAACATTGCCAAAGACAGCTGTTTTCTGCCCAAAGCCCCAGAGCTTTGAATGAGATGCAAATCTACCCTGAATGCACCTCCATCCTAGGCTGGGTGAGGTCACAGACACAGAAGGGCAGGACAGAACTCCCCCATCGTCTGGGGCCAATTCGTCTGGACACAGTGCAGTCAGCTTCCTTTTAAAGTGCCAGTATCTGTGGGGCAGGAGGGGACCCTCGGGGCTGAGCAGAGCCTTCTCCAGCCCGAGCAAACACTGTCCCGCCTTGGCAGGCACCTTCTAACATTCATTTTCTAAGAGTTAGGTGAGTAAAACAACAACAAATGCTAAAAATGCTCTGGTCCCAATGCCGGGGAGTTCAAAGACCAAGAAGCCCAACTCTCACCAGCAGGGGCAGATGGGGAACTAGGGAAGGAACCTCCCAGCCTGGGGAGGGCACCTGTACCCCTCCCAGAGAGAGAAGCCCTATCCCGGACCCCAGCGCTGCTGGAACCAGCCGGCAGGTGGGGCAGAGAAAAGCAGCACTCCCCTCACCTGGGGGAGGAGGCAATATTGAACTGTGAACTCAACAAGAAAAGAGAGGAGGAAAGAAAAATGAAAAAAGCTACAGGGCAGAGTAAACACCAGCCTGCTGGGTTTATACAAAATGAGTGAAATTTAAAAGGGGCAGGGAGTTTGTCCAGGGACTGGCTGGCAGCCAGAACCCACCTTCAAGCAAGTTACAAGGACTGGGGGGAAAGTGCTGAGAGCAGAGGCTTTAGTTGGGGGCAGGGCCAGACTGCTCCCTGCTGGGAAAGCACACCCCTTAAAGGAGCCCTTCCCCCTTGCCCAGATAGGGAACGCTTCCAGAGGAAGGCTGAGGCTTTTCTGGCAAGGAAACCAGCTCCAGACCAGTCCAGCCACGGTCCACCTGCCTCTCTGGCATCCGCCCCAGTCTGGGCAGCTGACCCTGGGGGCAGAGGACTTTGTTTGCTCCAACCTTCTTCCTGCAGGAGAACCAGCTGCTCAGGACCCAGCCTTGGGCAGAGGGCACCGTCGGTGCTCAGACCTTTCTCAGCACGGGTCTCAGACCTGTGCTGGAGCTGACTGGAGGGAGGAGAGGCAGCACCCGTTCCCGCCGGGCTGCTGGGCCCTGGGCCACTGACTGCACAGCAGGCAGTGACCAGGAGTCCTTGGGAAGGGGCCCAGGGAAGGGAAGGTGAGGGGTCAGCGGGGCTGTGCTTGGGTGGGGGCAGTGAGCATGTGCAAAGTGCAGGCTGCAATGCAGCGGGGGGCATTTACCGGGGAGGCAGGGGTCTCCATCTGGAGTGTGGGTGGGGTCTGAGGTCATAGCTCCCAGGAAGAGGCTGCCAGCAGGTCCCCCAGGACACAAGGAAGGGACAGCTGAAGCACTAAGCAGTCAGACGGTCACAGGTGGCAGGATTCTGGAGGCGGTCTGCGCCCCCCCCCACAACCACCAGGGCAAGGGAACAATGGAGCAAGGGCCTGCCACCGAGACATGACCAAAGCCAGTGCTCCTAGAGTGGGGACACAGGTAGACAGGCCCCTCAGCCATAGGCATCCCTGCATTTAGGAGCCGCTGCATGTCCTCAGCCAGAGGGACAGGTCTCTAGCAGAGGCAGTCCTGGCCAGCTGTCTGGCCCCCGGGCTACACGGGCCCACCTGGCCTGCCCTCTAGTGGTTCAGAGAATATTCACAGTGGTGCCTGGACCTTGGCTGGCCAGGAGGGTCCCACCGTGGATGGGAGGGTAATGGAATGATGCTAGGGGGACAGTGTGGACTGGAGTGCGTGGAGGAGGCATGGACGAGATGTGGCGCAAAGGTGATCCAAAGGGGAACGTTCCTCATGGAATGATGCGGGCCTGGACTCCAGAGAAAACAGCCCGGACACCTCCTCCTCAATGGCTTTCAATCACAACTGGCTCATAGACCCCAGAAGAAACCCTGCAGGTGAGAGACAGGTCAGCATGTCCCCCTCAATGCCCCATTTCCTGAGCGCTCCAATGGACCCGGCCTTTGGAGATGCTTCACAAGCAGGTGCTGTTAACCTGCAGGAGAACCAGCTGCTTGGAACCCTTAGGGCAAAGGGGCTAAGACCGAGGCCCAGCGATGGTAGCCCAAGGTGACACAGATAGTAAGCATCAGAGTCTGTGGGGCCTGCAGAGCCCTTCTGGGCACGCCTGGCTGTGCCACCCCATCCTCATGGTCACCTTGGCAGGGAGTGACTGCACCCTGCCCCACTTAACAGGTGAAGAAA